CTCTACCGTCACCACCCCTATCTTCGCACTACATACGCGCCAGTGGCCTCGTTGTAGTCGGCTTGCGGGAATGGTGGCGGGTTTTGGGGACGCGCCACTTGTTCCTCTTTCTCGTGGGTGAATTCGGTCAGCAGTCCTCATCGTATGAGGCCTTCTATTTCGTAACGCAGCTCTCTGCAATCTTCTGTCCAATGCCCCGTTGCTCTATGGAAGTTGCCGTATTCCTTGGGATCGCGCATGTGTGGTAAGGACTTCAGAGTCGCGGGCCAATTGATCTTGTATCCTTTCTCGCGGAGGACGTGAAACACATTCTTCACGGAGTCGTTGAGCGGCGTGTAAGCGCTCGTCATGCGCCTGTCTGGCGATCGCCCTCGTTGTGCTTGCTCTTGCGGGGGAGGAGGGTGGCGTTTCGGCCCGCTGTGTAGTTGCACCAATTGTTCTCGCGGTGGCACCGGTAGCTGCCTCCTGTCCTGGTCCTCTCGGGACGCTCTTGCCGGTTCGAAACGTCTGACAGATCCCGCTCCGAGGGTTTCCTCTAGCGTGATAGCTTTCTCGATTTTCATCTCCAACTCTGTCAATAGCGTGACAGGTCTTTTTGCTAGTGCCCGCTTGAGCTCCATGTTGGTGGTGGCTTCCATAAGGTGATGGGCGGCGGTCTCGGGGGTAAGATCGCGCACGGCCATTGCCACCCTGGACCATCTAGCGTAGAATGCTCGCAGGCTTTCTCCTTCCTTTTGCCTGATGTCTATCAGCGCCTTGAGGTGGAGAGGTCTTTTTTTTTGGGATGCGAATTTCGTCGTGAATAAGAGTATGAACTCTTCAAATGAGCGGATGATTCCGTTCGGCAGCCTGTTGTACCAATCGAGGCATATTCCGGCGAACGTTGACGGGAAGGTCCTGCATAGTGCCGCGTTGGAGTTGGTTTGGAGTTGTATCCGCAGGCAGAAGGTGCTCACGTGGTCTTCAGGGTCGGTCGTTCCGTTGTACGTCGGGAGGGCGGGTGGCATTCCGCTCAGGTGTTCCGTCATGATTTCTGCGCTTAGCGGTTGGTGGAGGGCCTTCATGGGCGGGTTGGGATGGTATTGCGGAGATAGATGTTGCTCCAAGAAGCTGAGGTCCGCCCTGCCTGGCAGTTCAACTTGTTGCGTTTCGTACGCGGGCTGCGGTGGTAGGGCAGTCCCCGACGTTTCTCCTGGGGCTTGTTGGGGCGCGACTGGCGTCGCATCTACTGTCGCCGCGGCCTCTTTGCTCATCATGAGCGCTATGACCTGGCTCATTTGTTTCTGAATGTCAGCTATGACGCTGTTCTGCTTTGCCATTAGCTGCCTCATTTCTTTGGCTGTGAGTTCGGGCTCTTCTTCTTCGAGGAGCACCGCGTTGAGATTGCTAGTTTCCGCGAATTCCCTTGGGTTGGTCATCGCTTTGATGGGGGTTGATTCGTCAGGTGAGTTGGATTTATGCTCTGCCATTGGTCAGTTTTCTTTTGCTTCTCTACTCGGCCCCACGGTGGGCGCCAATTGTTTGAGCCTAACTGGGTGTAGGAGTGAGACTCGGGAAGATGGGCCAAGGAGAGTATGCAAGGGGAGAATAACCGTCAATGGAAGAACTCAGGAAACTACGAATAGAGTTGAGAGGGTAATATCTTAGAGAGAGAAGTTGATAATCTTAGAGATAGATTCAGAAAAATCCGATCCCCTCACCCACCGGAGTAAATGCCTTATTTATAGGCTACATGGTGGTGGGTGAGTTACATGGTGACATGTCATGGTGACATGACCACTGACATGTCAGAAGACTAGGACATACCTCTACCTAGGACAAGTACATTTAGCCTTTCATTATACCTAGGACTAGGACTGCGATGTGACCACTCGGTAGGTGGGACGCGACATCGTTTTCCCATACTCGCTGATCTAGTCAACGCTGGACTCGGGCTGCCCTTGGACGCGCCGGTGCTGATGCGCCCGTCTCTAGGTATTGGCGCTCGCCGATGCTGGTGCGCCCGTCTCTAGGTATTGGCGCTCGACGGTGTGTTCGCTCGCGCCGGTGCTGGTGCGCCCGTCTCTTGGTATTGGCGCTCGACGGTGTGTTCGCTCGCGCCAGTATCACGGCCAACTCTTCTGATGTCGGTGTTTCTTTGGCGCTACGGAATCCGAGTCACGTGCCCAACAACTAGTATTAGTCGTCTCTCAGCCTCCAATTCGTCAAATTAAAAATTACCAATGACAAGAACTTGAGATGTCACCTCTTCTCTATTCTTCTTATCCATATCCTAGCTCTAGGCAAACTCAAGATTCTTTGCTTAGTCTCTTTGTCCTAATCAAATCTAATTTATATATTTAATTATTAATTGCAAAGATAATTAACTTCATATTTGATAATACCGATTGAAATACTGAAGTATCGATTGAGATACTGAAATATTTAGGGATTGGGATACCAAAATTATTTAGGGATTGAGATTGAGATTGATTTTAGGGTGTAATTTGGTATTCGGGATTCGGTATATGGTATTGGGATACTGATACCGTACCGATTTACACCCTATGTATAAGTAGGTGCACTTTTACCAAGTTACTATTTCATTTTTTGTTTTTAGTGAGGATGAAAGAACTTGTCATCTTACCACATCCCTCACCCACACTCAAATATATTAAAAAAAAATCTTTATTATTTGGTCAAAAATATTGTATGATAAGTAGGGGGAGATTGCTTTGTCTAACCGAATCGAAACGGAAATAAAACCGAATAAAACAATTTCCTTAAAAATTAACTATTAAGAGGGTTAAACAGTTCAATTTGATTTCAAAAAAGTGAAACCCGAGCGATTTAATTTGATTTGAAGAAAATGAAACATGAAGTTAATTGAATATTGAGTGTTTTATTAAAGGAAAAACTCTTGCCATCTTACCCTATCCCTTCAGACAGTCAGATATATTAAAAGAATGTTTTTTATTATTTGGTCAAAGATATTGTATGTATAAGTAGGGGAAGATTGCTTTGTCTAACCGAATCGAATCGGAAATAAAACCAAATAGAATAATTTTCATAAAAATGAACAGTTAAGAGGGTTAAACGGTTCAATTTAATTTCAAGAAAGTGAAACCCAAGATTTAAGTGGTTCAATTTTATTTCAAGAAAATAAAACCCGGGACTTAATTGAATATTGAGTGTTTGTGTATTGGTTGTGATTTTTTTTCCTTTTTATTAGTTTTGAACAAACAAAAAATGATAAGCACAAAGAGTTTGGGATCGAAACCAAACATTGATAAGAGCACCTTATCTATCCATTTAATTGAAAGAATAAAAATTTAATCCATATTGATAGTCCTATGTATGGCACACTTCACCATCTTTCATTTTGATCTTCAGATTATCCAAAATCTTAATTATTTGATTTTTTCATTGTTGCTATGAGGGAGTAGACATTGATGATGAATTCATTTTATTTTTATTACACATTAGGTTAGGTGTCAACTACTTTCAGGAAAGCTCTTTGTGTGGTTGGGTTTAGCCATTGAATATCACTAATAGGATACTAGGGGTGGCTATTTGGTCCGAACTTTTTGGTTTTACCCGAAACCGGACAGTATAACCCAGACCGAAACCGGATAGCAAACAATCCAATCCCATCTTTGGGCCTAGATTTGAGGTTCAAAAGTGTTCGGGACTGGCCGAAAACCGGATAAAGACCGGATAGAGAGCCCAACACCCAAAATTTAACCTACTCTCCCTTTCAGACCTCAGGCCACTCAAATCCCCCCTTCAAGTCACTCAAATCCCCACAAGCTCAATCTAAAATGAAGGTCGAATTGGGACCGCACTGGTTCAAGACCGGACCGTATCCAATCCAATCATTGGTCCTTATATTCTCGAAAAGACCAAACTGGGACCGGATCAATTCAGGCCAATTTAACCGGACCGGACCGTATTGCCACTCATATAGGTTACCACAGACAGAGGAGAGATTCAAGTTCTTTAGGTTTGATAAAAATGTAGTTTAAAGTTACTTGAAAAGAATTAACTGAAGAAAGGGTCTGTCATCTTACCTCATCCCTCACATACTCTCCAATATAAAAAAAGAATTTTTTTATTATTATTTGATCAAAGCGATTATATGTATGACTAGGGTGGGAGATTACTTTGTATAGCCAAATCGAACCGAAAATAAAAACCAAAAAATTCGAAACAAGTAATTTTCTTAAAAATGAATTATTAAGAGGCTTAAGCGGCTCAAGTTGATTTTAATAAAATAAACCCCGAATGAACTTAATAATGAGGGAAATTCATCTGCTAATATATGTGGCTCACTATGCACATCTTACTTTCTTTTTTCTATTTACAACGTGGTCTTATTGGTGGTTGTTTGTCATGAAACTTAGTGATTTATATTGCTATAGATTTGTTCAATTTGTTCCACTGTCGAATTGTTAAGTTTTTCTACATATATAGGTGATTGCTACAATTCTATCATTTTGCTTCCATCTTTACTTACTTGATCGTATTTGTGTATCCGACGAGTTAACTGGTTGATAGAACTTGGATCCAACAAATTATATTATGAATGTTCTTTATTTTTTGCTTAATAAATTAGACTTGCAAGAGACAACAATTAGTGGTGTCTTAAGTTGTATAGACAATGAAAAAAAAAATTATTTTTTTTGTTAGTGAATTAGAGGCGAGGTGTTGTACATGTTAGGCTTATGAATAATAATCATATATATGCGTTCACTTTTAGTGTTGAATTCGCTTATCATATGGATATGCAATCGCTCTATGTAGTGATTAATTCATTGTATGTTAAATGATCCATGTCAAGTTTGTGATCGATAAGCTTCCAACTCTATTCCTCACTCACAACAAGTTGAATGTTATTATTCAATGAATTTTTTTTTAATTTTACCCGTTTTCTTCGAGAGTTTTTATGATATGAGTTGTGATGGTTAGGCATAGCATTTCTATTTATACATTGTTCACTCAATACACGAACTTAATAAATATATCCATTCCCCATTTTACTAGTGATTAGGTAACTAAGTATTGTTGAAAATCATCACCAACTATGAAAATGGGTAATAATATATTGCATGGCGAAAGAGATATGAGGTATCAACAGCTACTTCACTCCCCATTTAGCGAGAAAGGCCAACTAGAAAACAAATAAATAAGAGTTTTTTGTTCCCAGTTTATTTGGACCTACCAAGGTTCTAATAAAGAATGATGATTGTTTCTTACACTTATGTCATGTAAATGTCGAACAAGTTTCTTTTTATCATTTTTTAATTGATTTTATGTTGTTTGACATCTATTGTGTACTTCATTGTTTTTCTTTGCTTTCGTTAGTTTGAAGGAAATGAGTACAATAAAATGAACCATGATTGGGGGTCTACATGAATCCGGGTGAGTTGGTTTTGAACCCTCTCAAACATGCAACCCATATGCCTCAGGTCAAGTGATGCACGACCCAAATCAAATTATAAGACACATAAGTCCATGTGTTTCGGGCGATTGCGCGAGTCGAATTGGATTGATACTAAATATGTCATAGGGCTGAACCTCGGTTCAGTATATGTTAATCAAATCAAATTGGTTGGTTATCCAAAATTGAATTTTTGTCATTTTAGCAATTGTAATTGCGGTTGCTGCAGTTACTGGAGAAACTAATAATATGATTTTTGGTTATGTTGCGGTTAACCGCGTTCAACCAATTAAACTATTTGTCATTCTTTTTGGTTTAGGTTACCTAATGGGGTAGGCCATTGGGCTTTGGGGTAGTTTAATTTTGCGATTATCTAGAGGTTTTGTTTTGCAATTTGATGCGTAGTTATACCAAACACCAAAGATTACCTAAAACCAAATTTACCACTATTCTATTCCTTAATTTTATTGTTCTCAATTAACTATTGATAATAAAATTCGAATTCGAGTTTAGTTAACTTGCATGACCATAACCAAATTTTCTGCCCGATAACCAAATACTCCATGCGATGTAGCCGATGGTATTGATACACATAAATTGGCGGGCGGGTTGGTCTTTTTTGTCGCCATGGGCTGGGAATCCATTTATGTCACAGGCCCAGGTAAAAGCACGCTTGTTAACTAAAGTTCCATTACGTGACAGGCGCAAGCATATTAACAAGTTTCAAGACACAAGTCGATTCCGTTGACAAGAATCCAAAATAAAAGTCAACGCATAATTGAAAAGATGTAGTTCTGGAGTGAAGCTCCTGCTGGGAAACATAAGGAAAAGGAACACAACCTAATATCCAAATGGCAACAGTCTCGGGCTAGAAATACATTAATCCCATCAAGCTTCTTAGTTCCCCCTTAGTTATCACTATTCACTACGTGTTCCACACACACCATGAACTTCAAACACGAATTACTCTTACTAAAAGAAAGCCAGAAACACTAGCTAGTGACCATCATCCTACAGCATCCTGTTTTAAGAAATGAATGACTTGAGATTCGGGCAACTCTCAAGCAATCCCATGGCTGCAAACGGATCCTTATAACCCCATACCACCTCTGCCACCTGTAAAACGGATATAAAACGTTTCAGAATCTGATCACTGTGAATGAATGGTTTAGGATGATGGACAGGCAGATCACAACTCTGTATACAGCGAGCCTCGATTGTATATAACAAAAACAGTAATGCTTGCTTGCCAGAATTTGATTAAGTTTGGTATCCAGATGTTTGAGAGCATCTTTCATTTCCTCACTACTGCTGTCAACGGAAGGAAGTTGGTGAGCACCACGCAGAGCCACCACGATTGTCACCTAAGGTGTAGCAAAAGCAGCACATCAAACACAATAAGTTCCAAGAGAAAAAAGGCAAGGCACCCATCATCAACTTTGGCAAATAATCTATCTCACTGCAGTGGAGGCCAGAGGAAGCTCACCAGAGTGTAATCCTTGTTCTGTTTGGGAACCAACTTGGGCACTAGTAGGCCATTCTGGAGTTTGACTCGTTGGATCTCCAGCTTCTTCACTTCCTTGCTCGCCAAATCTGCCAGATGCTGCCTGAGCCCACGATAGGTTGTCCCACGTCTCACCTGCACCAACCAACAGACTGTGTCAAGGTCGAAATTGAGCACTCTCTTGCAGCTAATTACTAGCTAGTTGCAGTTCTCAAACAATGAAAAGGTTGCTACTAGTTGTAACTTTACTTTCACAGAGGTGGAGCCATAGATGAAGTTCTGCTGTTCACCCACCAGCTTTTTTATGGTTCCTGCAATCAGATTTAAAGAAACAGAATCGATTCCGCAAGCAAGTTGGATGGCAAAATAGGTCAATCGGATTAAGGAATTAACCATGGAAAAGAAGAAGAAACCTTTCAGTGTTCCCCTCCAACCAACAGCACCTGCAGCAGCATCATGGAGTGCACTTCCAATATCACCACCTCTAGCAGACACCACAACCTAAAAGGACCAGAGCATCATCATCCTGGTTTGTTGCCTGTTGGAGAGAGAGAGAGAGAGAGAGAGAGAGAGAGAGAGAGAGAGAGAGAGAGAGAGAGGAAAACCTGAACTGTGACAACTGTTCTCTGTTTGAGAAGCTCATACACGCAGAGGACAAAAGGTATCAGTGCAAAAATCCCCACCAGACCATACACAAAAAGCACCAAAGTATGGACGTCACTTCTTGTCATTGTAAATCCGTCTCCATCCTCTCCAGTAGAATCCCGAGGAGGAGGAGGAGGAGGCGTTGGAACGGAGGAAGAAAGAGGAGCATTGCAAAGCAAGATAGCCAAGGCTAGAGCAGCAGCTACATGTGGCTTAGAGAAAACCCAACAACCCATTTCTTAGTCTTCTTCTTGATTTTTTTCTTCTTTTCGCTTAGGCTTGTTTTTTTCATAAGGAACCATACTGAACTTAAGAGCAGGGGAAGAGCTATTTAGAGTAAGGCAGTAAAAAAGCTTTGAGCTTTGACGGATAGTCATTTAAGGAAACAAATTGGTGCAATTATGAGAGGTGGAAATAAAGGTGGGTGGTTGGATGTGTATATATGAAGGGACTGTGAGTTACAGCTTGGTTTCCAGAAAAGCTTTGGTTGTAGTGGGTATCCCAAAAATAGACAGGATGGCCTCAAAGGTTTCTGGTTTGGATGTATTGCCAATTTGCCATAGCAGGAACAAAACATGGAATCCGATGTTCCAGCCAGACCAATTTGTAGCGTTGGCTTCCAAGGAAGAACTCAACATATGTGCTAGGCCCATGTAGAATAGAAACACAAGGTTTACGGTTTACCCTTACTGAAGCAGAAAACAAGTTACAAAACACAAGCGGATTCCGTAGCCAACAATCCAACGCAAAAGTCAGCACATAATTGAAGGATGTAGTACTAGAGTCAGGCTCCTATTGGGTAACATACGGAACTCAAACTAATATGCAAATGGCAACAGTCTTCCACACTCAAAATGACCTTCAAACACGAATTACTCTTACTAGCAGAAAACCAGAAACACTAGTTAGTGATCATCATGCTACAGCATCCTGTTTTAAGCTACGAACGACTTCAGATTTGGGCAACTGACAAGCAATCTCATGGCTGCAAACGGATCCTTATAACCCCATATCACCTCTGCCACCTGTAAAGCAGACATAAAACGTTTCAGAATCTGATCACTGTGAATGAATGGTTTAGGATGGACAGGCAGATCACAACTCTGTATACAGCGAGCCTCGATTGTATATAACAAAAACAGTAATGCTTGCCAGAATTTGATTAAGTTTGGTATCCAGATAGTTGAGAACATCCTTCATTTCCTCACTACTACTGTCAACGGAAGGAAGTTGGTGAGCACCATGCAGGGCCACCATGATTGTCACCTAAGGTGTAGCAAGCAGCACATCAAACACAAATTTGACAAATTTCAGAATGAGAAGACAGCTCGGAACGATAATATCTCACTGCTACGAAGGTGAACGATAGCTCACCAGAGTGTAGTCCTTGTTCTGTTTAAGACCCAACTTGGGCACTAGTTGGCCATTCTCGAGTTTGACACGTTGGATCTCCAGTTTCTTCATTTCCTTGCTCGCCAAATCTCCCAAATGCCGCTTGAGCCCATGATAGGTTATCCCACGTCTCACCTGCACCAACCAACAGAATGTGTCGAGATCGAAATTGATCCCTTCTTCTAACACTTACTTGCAGCTAATTATTAGCTAGTTGCAGTTCTAACAAAAAAATAAAATAAAATGGAAAGGATACTTGTTGTAATTAACTATTTACTTTCACAGATGTGGAGCCATAGATGTAGTTCTGCTGTTCACCCACCAGCTTTCTTATGGTTCCTGCAATCAGATTTAGCAAGGGTTAATGAAATAGAACTGATTCTGCAAGCAATTTGGCAAAACAGGTCAATCATCAGATTAAGAAACCATGGAAAAGAAAGAAACCTTCTAGTGATTCCGTCCAATGAAAAGCACTTGCAGCAACATCATGGAGTGCTCCTCCAAAGTCACCACCTCTAGCAGATACCACAACCTAAAATGGACAGAATGTGAAACATACATCACCCTGGCTTGTTGCCTGTTGGAGACTGGAGAGAGAGCGAGAAAGAGAAAGAGAGGGGGGAAGACCTGAACTGTGACTAATGTTCTATGTTTGAGAAGATCACACATATGGAAGAGAAGACCCATCAGTAAAGCTATCCCCATCGGCAGACCATACACCAGAAGAACACCAGTCCAGTCCTTTTTTGTCATTCTAAATTCATCTCCATCCTCTCCAGTAGAATTTCGAGGAGGAGGCGCTGGAACGGAGGAAGAAAGAGGAGCATTGCAGAGCAAGAGAGCCAAGGCTAGAGCAACTGCTACATGTGGCTTAGAGAAAACCCAACAACCCATTTCTTCTTCTTCTTCGTGATTTTTTCTTTTCGCTTAGGTTTGTTTTCTCAGAAGGAACCATAGTGAACTTAAGAGCAGGGAAAGTTTGAGTTTGTAGGAGCTGGGGAGAGCTATTTAGAGTAAGACAGCAAAAAAGCTTGGAGCTTTGACGAATAGTCACTTAAAGAAACAAATTGGTGAAATGATGAGAGGTGGAAATAATGGTGGGTGGATGGAGGTGTATATATGATTATGAAGGGATTGTGACTTAAAGCTTGGTTTCAAGAAAACTTTGGTTGTACTGGGCATCACAAAAATAGACGGGATGGCCTCAAAGGTTTCTGGTATGGATGTATTGCCATAGCAGGAATGAATAACATGGAATCCGATGTGCCAGCCAGACCAATGTGTAGCGTTGGCTCTGCCTTGTAGTTAACCAAGGAAGAACTCTTCCGTTCGAGATGTAAGCAATTCAATTCCGCTGTTGCTTCTGGCACCTAGAAAGGCTGTATAGCTTAGATGAAGTGCTTTTGGTGTACCAACCAGCAATGTGGTTCATGGATGTAAATGGAGAGAGACACATAACTGAATGATATTGTAAGGCTTTGTTGACTGTTGTAAGAGGTACATGAATGTATATGGAGAAAGACATCAACCGCTAATGTGGAAACACATGGATTACCCATAGAAAAGGACAGAAGGAGATGAAGTGCTTTTAGTTATCAAAGCCTACGAATTTCCTGATTTTTAGTTTACCATTTACAACAAAGATCGGACAAAAACCACATCACCATAATCATGATATTGCTTCAAAAATTTGTTTAAATTAGTCCATCATGACATGCATTATATTTTACATGCACAAATGACCCAATGAACCGTTAATCAATGATCCACTTATGATGAACCATTAAACTATCTAATTTCTTTTTTCCCGGTACAATGTGCTATCACAAATTACAAGTGATTTTTCTATAAGCCATAAGATCGTTTAATCACATTTAACCTTATCAGGATTTCAGCCTTATCAAGATGCGATAGCCAATCGTCCATCATTGTTGCTTCTACTGCAGATTCGTCGGTCTATGGAGTCAATCAGGCTCAGTTCAACAGCGTCTTCCTGTTTCGAAACTTATTTGTCACCACTGTCGTGAGAAGGGTCATCTTCAAAAACACTGTTGACGTCGTAACTACTGTGTTTATTGTAAATGACTTGGTCATGTTATCCTGGATTGCACAAGTCGACAGCGGAATGAAGCGATGTATGGATCTAATTCTGGTGGGCTGTGGTCCACTGGGAACTCTGCTGCGGGTAGTAATGGCAAAGCAGCTGGAGGGAATTGGGGCTCTGGACGCGCAGAATTTTCTGCTGGCGGACAAGCTGGTGAGCGCCCAGCTCGGCCAGTCTTTGTCACTACTCCAGCTGATATCGCTGGCGCTAGAAGTAGCTCCGCCATATCTTCCACGACTGTAGAGGAGTTGGTTAATTCCGCTATTCAAAAATGACTTCCCACAGCAATTAGTGCTGCATTTGCAACACTTCAAGGTTCCGGTAAGACCTCTCCTTGGCTATTAGATTCTGCTTGTTTCAACCATATGACATTTAATGCAGCTAGTCTTAAAAATTTGATGCCCGTTAATAATATGGCACTTCAAGTGGCGAATGGTCAGCAATTGGTTGTGAATGGGATTGGGTGTGTATCTGATTCGACCATGGCTTTGTCTCATACTCTACATGTTCCTGACTTCCAACACTCGTTCCTAACCTGGTTTCAGTCGGTCATCTTACTAACAAAGGTTGTTCTGTGTTGTTTGCGCCTTCTGGTTGTTTCATACAGGATTTGAAGATGGGCAGGCAGATCGGAAGGGGGAGTAAACGCGGGAGAGTTTTTTACCTGGAGGAGCTTCATGATAGTTCTGAGTCGTTTATCGTCAGTAGTCATGTTAGTAGGGCTGTCAGTAGTCCTGGTCGGTCTTTGTTGTCTGGTACTTCTTCACCTTTTTGTTTTTTGAGTCAGTCTGACAATGTTTGGAGTCTTTGGCATTCGCGGTTGGTTCATTCTAATAATGATCGTCTTGCTATGATGTTTAGACAGTCTTTACTGCGCAAACATCTTGTTAGTTTCCCTGCAAAACATTCTTGTACCAACTGTGTTGAAGCTAAAACCGTTAGTTCCTCCTTTCTGTTGAGTACTACTGTCATTAGTGAGCCTTTCATATCATTCATACTGATCTCTGGGGTCCCGCGCCTGTCCCTTCACGACGTGGCTATCGTTATTTTTCACTTTTTATATATTATGCCGCTCGTTTTAGGTGGATATATTTCCTTCGTTTGAAATCCGACCTTTGTTCTATGGCCATTGAGTTTTTAAAAATGATTCAGACCCAGTTTGGCCACCCAGTTAAGATTGTTCGTTTTGATCCTGGGGGTGAGTTTAGCTCAATTCCTCTGCATGACGTTTATTGTTCCATGGGTTTTTTAAGTCAAATGTCATGTCCTGGCATTTCCCAACAGAATGGACTTGTGGAATAAAAGAATCGTCATGTAGCCGAACTTATGTGTGATCTTCTTCTTGACTCTCGTGTTCCTGGTCGTTTGTGGCCTGAGGCAGCTGCTACTACAGTATGCTTGATTAACTATCAGATCACTCCTGTTCTGCGTCACACCTGTCCATATTATGCCCTTTATTCTCACCATCCTGATTATTCTCGTCTTCGGATTTTTGGGTGTCTTTGTTTTGTTCTTCTTCCAAAACGTGAGCTTACTAAGTTGTCCTCAAAGACTGCTCGTTATGTTTTTCTTGGTTATAGTGATGTGCATAAGGGCTATCTCTGCTTTGATCCTGTGTTACAACGTATGCTAATGGCTGCCACCGTCGTGTTCTTTGATCATCTCATGTATTTTTCACATGGGTATACTTCTGATACCTATCCATTTTCCGATCAGCCTTTGCCTGTGTTTGATCATATTGATGGTGATATTCCTACTCTCCCTCCTGACGACCCACACACTCCCCCGCTTCATCAAGATCTTCCTCCCAACGACCCTCCTTCTCCGGTCACTGCTAGCTCCTCATCTCGCACGGATAGCACTTCCAGATCATCTCCATCCACTGCCAGCTCACACTCCTCGTCCAGCGCTGCTAGTTCTCATGAGAGTTCTCCGTCTCCCTCACCCGAGGCTCCTCCTCCTTGCCGCTCCAATCGCACAACACAGGGTATTCCACCTCTCCATTTTCAGGATTATTTTGCTTATGATGTTGAGTCCTTGATTGTGCCCACTCGCTACAAGCAAGCTAAGGGTGACCCAAAGTGGGAACAGGCTATGAAACGTGAGCTTGCTGCTCTTCATGAAAATAACACCTGGATCTTGGTTACTCGTCCTCCACCTTCAACTTCAGTTGTTGGTTGTCGTTGGGTGTACACGATTAAGATGAACCCCGATGGTACAGTGGATCGCTATAAGGCTCGCTTGGTCGCTCAAGGTTTTACACAAGAATTGGGTGTTGACTATAATGAAATATTTGCCCCAGTTGTGAAGATGTCTACGGTTCGTACCTTACTTGCCGTTGCAGCTCAACAGAACTGGCCACTTTTTCAGATGAACGCCAAGAATGCTTTTCTCCATGGGGATTTGGACGAGGACATATATATGGAGCTTCCTCCTGGCTATACCCTCGGTGCTCCTGGTCAGGTCTGTAAGCTACAACAGTCTTTATATGGTCTTAAACAGGCACCCAGGGCGTGGTTTGAGAAATTTCAGTCTTCTATCACTGGTTTGAGATTTCTGCAAAGTCTGAATGATCCATCATTGTTCACTCGCACTACTTCTTCGGGGATTGTTGCACTCTTACTATATGTTGATGATATGATCATCACCGAGACTGATTTGGTGGGTATTCAACGTCTCAAGGATGGTCTTCATGCTTCGTTCAGTCTCAAGGATCTCTGTGATCTTTCTTATTTTCTTGATCTTGAAGTTCAACGCAGTTCTCGCGCTATCTTGCTCAGTCAGCGTAAGTACCTAACTGACTTACTAGCGGAGCATCATTTTGCCGGCTGTAAACCGGTCTCCACTCCCATGGAACCTAATCTGAGTCTTGGTCGTGATTCTGGTGCTCAGCCTGTTGACGACTCCTCCTACCATAGTATTGTGGGAGTCTCATTTACTTATCCGCCACTCGTCCTGACATATCTTACGCCGTTCAGCTGGTTAGTCAGTTCATGTCCACTCTTCGTACTGATCACCTTGCCACAGTTCATCGTATTCTTCGCTACCTTCATGGAACTCGTGATGTTGGTATGTTTTTTCCTTCATCTGGTCCTACTAGTTTACGTGCATACTCTAATTCCGATCTTGCTGGCTGTGTGGATACTCGTCGCTCTACTTCTGGTTGGTGTATCCAGTATGGGGGTGCCTTTATTTCTTGGAGGTGTAAGAAGCAAGAGAAGGTCTCTAAGTCATCTACTGAGGCCGAGTACCGGTCCATGTATGAGGTTGCCTCTTAGCTCGTGTGGCTACGTCGCCTCTTGCTCGATTTTGGTATGGTGTGTCCACTTCCCATGGATCTTTTTGTTGACAATACCAGTTCTATCTGCATTGCTGTTAATCCTGTCTTGCACGATCGTACTAAACATATTAAGATCTACGTGCATTACATTCGGGGTCTGGTTCGCGATGGCGAGATCACACTACATTACATTCGCACTGAGGAACAAGTTGCTGATCTGCTGACCAAGGCTTTTCCATCGAGTCGTCATTGGTATCTGTCAAGCAAATTGATGCTCTCTGCTCCGCATCAATTTGGGGGAGGCTGTTAGACGAACTGTGTATCGTTTTTCATTTGTACATATTATTTTGGGCTTTAGACTTGTTGGTGATTGGGCTTACTTATGACCCATGCAACCTATGCATGGAGAGGATCGGCTGTACGTGTAGAATTCCTCTCCTAGGGTTTGGTTATAGGTGCTAAGTATATATAAGTTTAATGAACAATGGCGGCTGTAAGGCGATGATACCAAAATAGTGAATTGTACTCGAAGAGTCCTAACTCTTCTGTGGATTAGTCCTGGAGTTATAGGGATACCACGTAAATCGGTTGCCTGTTCCTTTCCTTTCCATTATCTGTGATTATCTTACAAAGAGACGTCGGGTGGATGGTGGTTTCTGCTCATCATCTCATGGGATTTTGTACCAAGATAGGGGAATGAGGTTGCACTTGCCTTCGCTCATTTATTGGGCCCCTAGAATAAGACTATCACCTGGGTTGATCGATCTCCCATGCAATTATTGGATCACATTATAAAGGACTCATATGTAGAAAGATTTGGGTCTGAATGTTTGACATGTTGAATTAGTGTATGAATAAGAAAAAGATTTCCTATATATATATATATATATATATATATATATATATATATATTAAAATAAACCTTGGCTTTAAATTCAACTAGAATCAATGTCCGCGGCTACGCTGCAGGGAGTATACGGTTATAGGGAAGAAAATTTGGTTATGGTCATGCAAGTTAATTGAAGTCGGATTTGAATTTTACGATTAATAGTTAATCGAGAAGAATAAAATGATGAATATAATAGTTGCATAGTTGGTTTTAGCTAATCTTTGGTGTTTGGTGTAACTGCACACCAAAATGCAAAACAAAATCCTTAGATAATTGCAAAATTAAACTACCCCAAAGCCCAATGCCCTATTCTATTAGATAATATGGTTGATCAAGCATCTCTCTCTTGCTTCCCCATCCCTCTTTCCCTTATCCATTCAACCAACTAAAGGTGAAATATAACAACTATTGCAGCTTATTTATTATTGCCATGAGCTCCTGCCTAATTTTATTTACCAATCGAATTCAGGCAAGAAACTGTAAGAATGATTTGTGAGCTATAAATTGGAAGCTATAACAGGAAGAACTGAAGAGAAGGATTACTGGTAGATGTTCGATTGTTCCTGTTGTAAGCCTCTATGGTGTGTAAAGTGCAAATAGAAGAATGACACCAAATTGTGCATTAGCTCATCCAATAGCAGACCACTACTTGAATATGCACAGGATTAAACATCGACATTAGGCCTATGAAGTGCATATCAAAGAATGACCGGAAATTGTGCATCAGTCTCATCCAACAGCAAAAAAATACAGATCAAGAACTAATAATGACTTGTTAACTCTACATTAGTCTCATCCATTTCAACACAACAGCAGGCAAAGAGAAGCTGTTCCAGAAGCACGAAATCAATACTGAGAAGCTTCAAGCTTGCCTTTATGTTAAATTTTGCAGCATAAGCATAATGAAAAACAAAATCAAAATGTTGTCCATGCGCAATCATCAACAACTCATAAGAAAGTAGTAAGTATACGGTAGTTTTCTTGCTAGAAATGAAGTGTTGGTAGAACACTCAGTAGCTAGTACAGTCAAAGGGTAAAATGTATTGATTTTAAAATGTGGCATCGGTATTCTATTCAACTTAGAGGTGTATATCTCTGTACACAATCATGTAGCTGATAGAGATAGCCTGGAATGCAAAATGTGGTGAAGCCACTAAGTTAAATGAACATTGTAGATGCATCATCCCAGCGGCTGGTAAAAAAGTGCAGTAGCAAAAAAAATTTAAAAAAAAAGAAATTTGAAGAGAAGGATTCTGAGCATAAAGACATAGCTTTCTACGCATGAATGTGAAAGCAAGCAGTATGTTTGTGTAACTCATGATTTTGAGCCCTTGGTAGCAACTGCAATTCTTTTGTGCGAATAATCAAATAGTTTTTTGACACATCATTAACTGCAACATCATTGTACTACAACCTAAAGATAAACCAAATGAAATAATACGAATATCTACATGTCAAAACTTTAATTGAATTAAGCAGAGCACAGAGGAAAATAGAAACTATCCGCATCCAACACATTTTCAGAAAGAACATGTACGCGGCAAGGCCTCAACTGAAGTTGCAGGAAAAACATGTATATACATCAAAATGAGCAAGCATCATTAAATCAAAAGAGGAAGCAGGTAAAAGCAAAAGAATGGCTCACACAAAAGCTAGCAAAGCAGTAGCTGCTATATAAAAGTTTCATATTGGTCTACCTAGTTTCAAGAATAATGTCAACTTCACATACTTTTGGTTCAACCCATAAGTCGCTCATTAGACTGCGCATATAAATATAATCTTTAGTTGAGTTTGGATAAGGAAACTCAATTTCTAGACAGCCATAAGCACACAATAGTCGAATAAGACAGACCCGAAGAAAATAATGAGAAGAAGGGAAAGCTCGATAAGTTCGTCACCCACGTTTGCTGGTTCCCAGGCGTATGAAACCCAGCTGCAAAAACAAAAACTATTAAATCGATAAATCGAGTTCACAAACAACAAACAAAACGATAATAAACACAAACAAATGGAGATTAAAAAGCAAGCATGAACAAATTGAGAATTTCAAAACAGCAAAGAACATATTGAAGAACAAAATAGAAAGTCCCAAGTTGCAATTTTGTCACCTTCTTGCCCCTTCTCACTTTATCTCTTGTTAGCATTGCCCATCTGTTAATCCCACACAACACATTCAAAAATATATAAAAGAGAGATATTGAGTTTATCAATACAGCTAAATAAACCACACCATCCCTCTTACCTTTCCATGTTTGCTGCTACTCCATGTTTAGCTTGTGCTTGCAACAGTAAAATCAAGAAAAGTGAGAAGCAAGATCATTTTTAGGGGGTTGAGGTAGGAGGAAGATCAATCGGTGAATACAAAAGTAAAAATAGAGCTCACCACCTTCGCCCTACTTTTCCCCGCCAGGGAGTCGTGTCCATTCCAACTATGACGGCAATTAAACTGAAACTACATACCTCTCGTTGGCTTTTCTTGTGCTTTCTGGACTTATCTGTCTAAACAAGGTACTAATAATTGGCTGTTGGCAGGGGATTTCAATTCCATCTGATCAGACGACGAAAGTTCGCCCCTCCTCGGCCGCCGCCAAGCTTCTCCCATCTTCCATCCTGAACATTAGAGGTTACACAAACTCTCACCCCGTCCTCCTGCTGGTCCATCATCACCACCACCTTCAGTTTCCATTGTTCCCCTATGGATAAGGCTTACAAACTCAACGATACCATGTCATCGGAATCTTCATTGCTACCGTCCTGCTCTGCAGCGAGTGTCCAAAATCGAGTAGGTGAAATTTAAAATCTCAACAAAGAAGACAGAAATAAAAGCTCACCATCATAGGCAATTTTGTCCACCGCCTCTAGTCCTCCTTTTCCAAATCAATTTCGTATTCCTCCACTTTCATATTCGGGTTGTTGACACCCATTTTCGTCCGAGTTAATTTCATACTAAATAATTTTGTTCGAGCTGGATAGGTTTAAACACTAGAAATTTATCAGCACATTACAATCCATTTCTGTTACACATTGGACTTCCAATCAGCCCATTCCATAACAAAAACAACAACAAAAGAGAAATAATGAAAAGGCCCATAGCCCACAGATTCTGTCCTAGCAACCCACATAGCGAGTGAGACCGGTTTGATTCACCAGACCAAACCCGCTCCTCCTCTGCTCCTCCATCCTCACCTCATTGCCTGCAAAAACAAGAAAGATAACCAAGCTCCATGCTTTGGTGAGTTGTACAAGGCAGAAGAGTAAATGGAAAGGAAGAGAAATCAGATCTGGGTACAGAAAATTGATTATAGAGATGGGAGTAGGCTGAAGTGGTTGAGAGATGGGTGTATAGTGGTCTTCGGTTTCCTATAAGAAGAGGCAGCAGGATGAGAATCGGGGGGAGGGGGGAAATAGCCAGTTTGTTCAAATCTTTCGATCGAAATTCCACTCGAGAGAGCAACCATTTTCTTTAGCCAACACAAAGAAAACAAAGAAATCAAGAGATTCGTTCTTAATCAACAACCATTCACCCTTTCATAATCTCAAATCCAAACATCCTACAATTTCTGGAAAATTAAATGAATCATATCGCTACCCTACCTCACTTCGTAAAATTAGATAAATTAAATAACAAAAGCTCACCCGTCGCCGCCTGCGACCACCATGCCGCCGTCGTCATCTCACCCTCAATCGCCGACCCACACCACTGCCATCTTGGAGCTTCAGTTCCTCCCTCCCGAGTCCGCCGCCGTCGACCTGATCAACACCACCAGACGCCTCACATCGCCGCTCGCCGTTTCCGTGGCTCCACCCCAACATTGTCGCCGCCACCAGACATCTTGCCGAGCTTATCCCGTTGTCGGTAGGAATGGCAATGGGGCAGGTCCAGGGCGGGTATCTCGATACCCATACCCACCCCATGGCATGTCAGGTCCAGGTCGGGTAATTAATTACGAGGCGCGGCTCGGGGCAGGCCGACCCAATGGGTATGTTATTTAAGTAAAAAACATTAGGAATATTCATTATTTTCATTAAAAGACCAAGAAAGAAACCATAATATGATAAAATCTAGTTAAATTATTGAAGAAATTGAAGTTTTCACTTAATTACAACTTTATTATAGCTAAAATATAATATAATAAGAGGAGAATCCTAAGTAATTTGACTAAAATTATATGTAATTTAGGCAAGAACGAGTCAAGAATGGAGCGGGTAAGGGCAGGTCGGGTTGATGAGAGATACTCATGCCCGCCTCGCCCCAAAATAGGCCAAACAGGTCCGGTAAATTGGGTCAGGTCGAAATTGCTATCTCTAGTTGTCGGACCGCCGAATCGTCAGGCCAGCGCGTCTTCATCACCGCACTGCCGCCACCCATCGTCGATCATCGCCTCAGTTGCACCACCAGACCACCGCCGCGCCACTGTTCCTTGTTGTTCAGTTCGCCGTCGAAGGAGAAGATCGCAGTGTGGGGAGCAGAAGAAAGAGAAAGGGGGAAAAGGTTGGGTTTTGGTCATCTCTGCGTCGGATCACAGCACATGTAAGGATTTTTTATCTCTTAATTTCTAAGTAACTCGACGTAGCCCTCACCTTTTCTTAAATGTTTGACAAAAATAAAAATCCTTTAATTTTGCAAACAGTTACATTTTATCGTCAAGCTGAGTGTTTAGCCACTCAACCCAGTTAAATAATATTGATATGCAATTGTAACTGAACATATTTATTCTTAACCAATAGTTTAGTTAATTTTCACACTAAAGTTAATCTCTTTTCGTACAAACAAATCAACACAAATCGAACTACGCGGACTTTGATCCCGAGATGTCGGGTACGTAGGCGACCGAAAGGTTCAAGCCCACAGAACTCCTAAAATATTATTTTTATCAAATTATACGATCAAGTCATTACGATGTATACATGATCAATTTATCAGCTAACCCTTTTTAAACAAATTACAATCGATGGATTGTGTTCAAATCAATAAAATTTTACGTCCCGATGGGTATGTGGTCAAAAATCATTTAACCTATCTCAAGCAAATTACGATCTATGGATCGTCATCAAATTAAGCAACTATTACGTACCGATGGGAACGTAAGCAAATGTTTTAAAACAAGTAAGTGTCAGTTGAACTGCGAGGGCTTTGATCCCGAGATGTCGGGTACGTAGGCGGCCTACGGGTCCAAGTCCACTAATAAATAAAACCTTTTCTCCTGAAAATTACCAAAAATATTAATTCATTCTTCTAACATAATTACATGTTGATGAACATGTAATATATTTAAAAAAATGACATCACATATACAAAGTAAATCCAAATAATTCTAAACAAACAAATATAAAAAGACAATTCAAACTTATAGTACCGACTTAGGGCAATGTAAGGGTGCTAATACCTTCCTTACTCGTAACCGACCCTCGAACCCAAAAAAATCTATTTCGCAGACCGAGCCGAGCCTAAATCTTAACCGATTTAAGCTTGGCTTCCCAAGTGTCCAATCCACTTTGAGAGATTGGTGGCGACTCCTCTTTTTCGCGCCGCGTCGCGGACGGAACGTTTGCGACTCCGCTGGGGACACAGGTTTATCTTTACCTACGTGGGTTAGGCTATGTTTGATTTGTCTTTAATGTTGTTTGTTTGAAATGAGTTGCTTATTTACTATCGATACGTGATGATGTTCATACATAAAGCTCTACACCCGAGCTACACCCTTACTAGGACCCTCAGATGGAGTAGTGTATGCCTTTAGGATGGTAAGGGCGCACGGAATCCTCCAGCCCGAATGGAACCTACTCTAATACCGCCGAAAGACTATTAGATGAGGTTACATTTCACTAGCTCAATGGAGCGACTGTGAAATACAATTCGGGTTCCCTTAAAGCGTCCAAACCTAGATCCCACCCGACGCATAATTATACTATTAACTTTGTGGTAATTTTTCTTTAACTTGTGAAATCGTGTATGTCTATACCAAATTTGTCCATCTCATCACATTTCACCCAAAATTTTTTTTAAAGAAATCATAACATAATTGCATATTTTCCCAAGTCATTCCATGCATTGTCTTATTCACCAATTCCTTCATAATAACTTGTCATATGACCAAACTCGTTTCATTTTCCCATTTTAATCCTCATTTTCCATCTCAAATTTTCTTGCATTAAACCTAGATTTTGATATGAGTAATAAAGATGATGTGATTTCTAGAAAGTTTTCAAAATTGCTCACCGACAAAAAAAAGTTGTTTCCTCTCTCATATACCCAATTTGCTCAAAAACTGGATCACAAGCAGATATGTAGCGAGAAGACACAGAAGCGTTTGGACGAGATTAAAGAGAATCAAGAAAATTATGAAAATCTTGGAGATCAAATTGGGGCATTGATGGCGTGGAAAAGGAAAAATAAAGAAGATTATTCGTTACGCGTCCAATGGCATTGCACCAACAAGTATGAAGGAAGGAGAAAGCTAGTCAGCATTGCTTCAAAAGTTCACGGACACAAATCTACCTACTATTGGTGATTCTTATGGGAAATCCATTCCAATTGTTGATCTCATAATCTTGTATCCATATTTTGAGTTGGGAGTTTGGTTTCCCATTTCTACCAAGACTACCAGTATGTGCACAATAAAGGGAAATGATGATTATGGCTGTATGACAGTTTATAATGACAACTGAGAATGTAGTATGCAGGTGATCAATGATATTCCTCCTTTCATGGAAAAATGACATGTGAATCAGAATCAGTCAATCAACACTTTTGGTTGTTTAAACATAGAAATTGGGAAAACTTGCATGAGAGAATGAGCAGCTAGAAAGCCTGTGAATTTTGTACCAGTTCGTTTCCTTTCTTGTGTGTTAGATCCCTTTCTGCATGATGATTATGCTTAATGTTTGCACGAGACCGAGTCGTGATACCGTTAACTAGGAAGATGGAGGCATAGGTGTATTCCAAAACCTAAATGACTATCCGTATTACTATATCCCTTAGTCAAACCTCATGGAGTGTACCATGTTTCTTCAGTTACACCATGTTTTCAACCAATCTCGGTTCTTTCAAGCCCTTATACTCAAACCCTTTCGAGGTTCCATGGGATGTTTAAAATATGGTATTCTGCATTTCGGACAGAAAAAATTAGCTGAGGGATCATATCCAAAAAGCGTTGTTCCACAATCAAGATGTTTTGCCCTTGCCTTTAAGCTCTCAAATGAAAAGTACAAAAGATCATACCACTAAAAAGAGAGTTGTCCATCCAATTTCCTACACTTAATATGAGTTGTTTCACAAAGTCCATTGGCTAAGTGAACTCTCAAATCCTCAAATAAATATCCATTCCTTTTCTCATGCAGAGGAGCGTGATTAAGTAGAGAGTCGTGAGTTTTGGAAATAGTGGAACCTTCAACTTTTAGCCACTTGAAACGACTATCCCATGTACTTAACCCTAGCCACATTTTACATTATTAAAAGTCCTCCGGATAAGTTAATGGTGACCTATTTCATGGAGGCTCGGTCGAAATGCAAATATTTAGGAGCTAACTTCATGATAGAAAGAGTGTAGGATGAGCATATTTAAAATGCAACATCTTTGCATAAATTATTTGTCCTTACCCCACTGGTCGAGTGAAAGTGATTTTTAGTTATGCTCTAAATCCTAGTGAGGTCTTAATTTGCTCAACTGCTCGTGCCATATTTCGTAGTTGCTATGTTTGAATCATTGAGATACAGAGCAAACAATTAGGTTCTCGTAACATTTTGCAAGGCGGATTCGCAGTTTCACTTATCGCCAACATACTATAGTCGAATGTCGTTTGTGGTGATTGTAAGCACCCATCTTAAGCCTTCTCATGTGTCAATTTCAAAGGCTAACTATGGCCCGTTTTTTCATGTCCCTATGACTATCGCCAAGGGGCTTGAGATATTTGCAAGTAAACAAGAATCATTTCAGAGGAGAATCGAAGTTCATGCATGAAAGAGAATGGTTTATCTGCTACCTACCAGACCATATGCATGGCCGCAAAATCATCAACATGCTTGGTTAAACGAATCTCCCAATCATGCTCAAGTGTCTTCAAAATCAAGTCATATGTCATATGGTTAAATGTCATATGAAAAATAGCACACTGTTGTTTCACTTACAATTATATTAATGGAACACGTTATCATAACTTGGGGGCAACTGGGTGCACAATAGAGTGATTGCTTGTACACAATGCAGTCAAAATCGCGTTTTAAAACTTAAAAACTTACGATTTTACGCTTTTAGGTCACCAAAACGCTTTCGTTTCCATATCAAAACTTAAAGTGTATAATATCGGACTAATTTGCGCTTTAAAACTTAAAAGCTTACGCTTTTACGCTTCTAGTTCACCAAAATGCTTTACATTTTTACGCTTTTAGTTCACTAAATGATTATTTTTTTTCATGAAATTATTATAAAAATTATATTTTAAAAGTAAATCACCAACAATATGACGCATTTGAGATTAAAAGATACATACCAGGTACTTCGATGCATTCTCAACTTCAATAGAGTAATAATTCACTAGCTAGGCTCTTCTCGAATTCATTAGCATAGATGAAAAAGTGGCTTATTGTTAAAATCTATGTTTACGAACTTCTTATTAAGATTCTATAAGTTGCTCTACTTTAGGCATGAATTGCATGTATTTATTAACTTATCTAAATTCTGTGCATTCATATTTTACATAGTATATGTCCTGCTTAATAGATTTTTAGTTATTTTTCAGTATGCGTCAAAAACTTACGCTTTTACGTTTTGATTCTACGCTTTACGATTTTACCAATTTTCTGCTTCTAGGTAGAATCGCGCTTTTGACTGCATTGCTTGTACATACCATCACAACTGGGACAACGAAGAAGTGGCTGCCATTTCAAGAAGCAATAAAAGAGAGCTCCACCACCAAAAGCTTAGAAAAGCGATTGATGAATCACAACAATAATACTGGGGGCAATCAAAATCAAAAGGATCACATCCAGACAAGAGGAGTCACATGGTCCAGTTAAAGAGCAAGGGAGAAGAAAAATGAAAAAAATAAAAAATAACAAAGTAGGAAAAATAAAATATTAAAATATTATTGTTGATGAGCAATCAAGAAAGCTTCTAAAAGTAATAAAATTAATTTATACTTTTTTCTTTTTTTCATATCCCAATATCTCTCGTTTCTTTTTCAATGAAAACAATCATTCATCCCATTATCATACATGTCATAGAGCACATTTTGCCTCAAACATCAATCCTCGCAAACACATCATCATTCATTATAGTCTAGGATTTCATGTGCATATATCACTCAAATAAAAAAAAAACTCTCAAAAAATGATTTTTACCCTATATGCCACTCACATCTTCATTTTCTCTCTTTTTCAATAAACGTAAATTCATTCCATTACCATGCATAATTGCATATTAAAAAAAACAAAACAAAACACATTTTGTATCAGACGTTAGGACCTAAACATATTCATCAACATTCATAATAAAATGAGATCTCACGTGCATAGTTTGCTTATGTACGTACCAAATAAATTTCACAATTAATCTACTTTATCTTCATAGGATAATATGTCCTAGAAGATTTTCCGACCCAAAATATCATCCATACATTTTCATGCTATTCCCATTAAAGCGACTACTTACGCCATAGTTTTTTTCCCTATACAAATATCGACCTTGCGTCGGTAGGCACTATAAACACCATGCACAATCGACCTTGCGTCGGCAGGCGCTATAAACACCATGCACATCGACCTTGCGTCGGCAGGCGCTATAAATACCATGCACATCGACCTTGGGCAGGCGCTATAAAAACCATGCACAATCGACCTTGCGTTGGCAGGCGCTATAAACACCATGCATATCGACCTTGCGCTGGCAAGGGCTATAAACACCATGCATAATAAATTCGCGTCGGCAGGCGCTATAAATACCATGCATATCGTCCTTGCGTTGGCGAGCGCTATAAACACCATGCATAATAAATTCCCGTCGGCAGGCGCTATAAACACCATGCCTATCAAACTCGTGTTGGCATGCACTATAAATATCATGCACAACAAAATATTACATCAATAAACGCATTCGACTTGTCCAATTTGATTCTCATCACCGTCACAACTTGAATACATCATTGCTACCGAAAATCCAGTTTGATTCCCATCATTGATCGATTCCAATCAAAGACTTTTCTCATTCAACTTGTTTAGTCGATTCTTATCACAAACACGGGTTGCCAAATGGCCAAGTCGGTTTCTATCATAGTTTCCATCACCAACAACTTGAGTATGATGTTGTTACCAAATGACCGACTCGACTCTTCTCTTTCAACTTGTTTAGTCAATTATTATCACAAACACGTTACTTAATGATCAAGTCGCTTCCCATCAGGGACATTTTCAAACTCAACTTGTTCAGTCGATTTCAATCGCCTTCAATATACAAGATTTTGGCTCCTAGCATCGTTACCAAGTTGCTTCGGTGTTGTCATGTTCCAACCCTATCTCTACCATGTTAAGCGATTTGGGTTCTCTTACATCACACTTTGTATGAATCTTGTACCAAGAAACATACAAAGGGGGGCAACTGCTGACACCCATTTTCGTCCGAGTCAATTTCGTACTAAATAATTTTGTTCGAACCGGATAGGTTTAAACACTAGAAATTTATCAGCACATTACAATCCATTTCTGTTACACATTGGACTTCCATCCCAGCCCAGCCCATTCCATAACAAAAACAACAACAAAAGAGAAATAATGAAAAAGGCCCATAGCCCACAGATTCTGTCTTAGCAACACACATAGCGAGTGAGACCGGTTCGATTCACCAGACCAAACACGCTCCTCCTCTGCTCCTCCATCCTCACCTCATTGCCTGCAAAAACAAGAAAGATAAATGTTTGAGCCTAGAAAGTACTAGGCGGTTATGGGGCTCCGAACTGGACTCCCTCGTACGATCTCCTCGAGAGTGGAAGAACCTGTGAGGCGGGGGCGGCCCCCGGGATACGCTCCGACGCCCAAGTGAGTACGATATAGGAGAGTGTATGGTATGTAGAGAGATAAATTAGAGAGAGAGACCATAGGGGAAAGTGAGGAAGGGAAAAGAGAAGATCCCTAGTTTGGAGGGTTAGGCCTCCTTATATAGGGTTTGGGCTTCCTTGAGTGGGCTTGGGCCCAGGACACCTTGCGGTGGGCTTGGGCCCGTTTATAGTCGTGTAGGCATATTAATCTATATCCCAACAATTTCCCCTTTACTTCTTGTATTCTGTAAGAATGGAAGGAGTAACATAATGCGTTAATCGTGTATTAATTTGCCTTACTTACGAATCCGGATGATGCGGTTTGCCCCTTGTGCGAGTTGCGTAATCATTTCCTTTGCCCCTTGCTTGACTTTCGATGTCTTGAACCAAAGCTCTCAAGTCGTTAAGAGTTCCTTTGCGTCCATTGTTGTTAGCGCTAGTGGACCATAATTGCGACCTAGGTAGGGTGGCCCCCACGGCTTGAGAGTTTTAACTCAAAACGCTCTTGTCTCGTGTCTCCCCCAATGTCGCGTCCATGTTGTCAGGAAGTCATGTGTCTTGTTAATGTCTTACTTCTGTGAGGCAAGATCTTACTTGTGTGAGACAAGATCAACTATTCTCTTCTACGAAGCTTAGTACTTCGTCTTTTGAGAAGCGCATTAGTCTTTCAGCTTTCTGGAAAGCTTAGTGCTTCTTCGGATTCCTGGGGTGCGCTTCTCCTTTGGCTTCCTGGGAAGTGCCTCGCGCCTTCGGCTTCCTGGGAAGCGCGTCACTCCTTTACTTCCTGAGAAGTGCATAGCTCCCTCGACTTCCTGAGAAGCGCATCGCTCCTCGGCTTCCTGGGAAGCGCGTCGCTCCTCGGCTTCCGTGGAAGCGCGTCGCTCCTCGGCTTCCTGGGAAGCGCGTCGCTCCTCGGGTTCCTGGGAAGCGCATTGCTCCTTCGCTTCCTGGGAAGCGCGTCGCGCCTTCGGCTTTCTGGGAAGCGCATTGCTCCTCCACTTCCTGGGGAGCGCGTCGCTCCTCGGCTTCCTGGGAAGCACGTCGCTCCTTCGCTTCCTGGGAAGCGCATTGCCACTTTGGGTTCCTAGGAAGCGCATTGCTCCTTCGCTTCCTGGGAATCGCATCGCTCCTCGGCTTCCTGGAAAGCGCATCGCTCCTCGGCTTCCTGGGAAGCGCATCGCTCCTCGGCTTCCTGGGAAGTGCATCGCTCCTAGGCTTCTTGGGAAGCGCATTGCTCCTTCGCTTCCTGGGAAGCGCGTCGCCGCTCGGCTTCCTGGGCTCCTGGGAAGCGCCTCGCGCCTTCGGCTTCTTGGGAAGCGCATCGCTCCTAGGCTTCCTAGGAAGCGCATCGCGCCATCGGCTTCCTGGGAAGCGCATCGCTCCCTCGGCTTCCTGAGAAGCGCGTTGCTCATCGGCTTCCTGGGAAGCGCTTCGCTGTTCCGCTTCTTGGGAAGGTGAAAGGCATGAATCAATCACCGAAGAGTGCATTGCTCGGAGGCGGTTTTTTAGCCTTGCCCGGATGCGGAAGGCATGAATTAATCCCCCAAGGGTGCTGTTGGGCCGCATAGTTGAGCGTACTTGGGCCTCGGGCCCAAGAGAGGCGAGTCAGCGGTTAAGGCCCAATAAGGAGGCTAGGCCCGATCGAAAGACCGGGTCAGCGGGCGGTCCATGATCGACTGCGAACCCGAGGAATAGATAAGGGCGCCTGACATAAAGCAACTGAGCAGCACAGAAAGGCAGAGAGCCGTTGAAGATGCGTATCTGGTGTCAGGCAAGAATGAGCATTTATTGCCGGCCATAGGAGGCCTGCAGAAAGGCTGAAAGCCTGCCCAGGACGCCTGACGTGACCCAAAAAGCCTGCATGGGACACCCGACCAGTTCCGGGGCTTCCGACATAGCATTTAATGCCCCAACCACCCTCAAACCAGGTATAAATAGAGGGTGAGTGCATTAATGGTAAGGCCAACTACTATTCATCTCTCTACATAAAACTTATCTCTCCCCTTCTCTCTCTAACTTAAGCTTCGGAGAGTGTCTCGGGCGAACCGCCCCGGACCATTGTTTTGCAGAGTATCAGGAGTACACCCCTACATCCGAGAACAGGCGCCTCGCCCCTTCTCCACAAACCGCCTAGTATCTACTAGGCACAAACAATTTGGCGCCCACCGTGGGGCCGGAGCGAAGTGCTTGAAGCAAAAGATGGAGGGGAACTTCAGAACTCCAGTGAAGGACGTCATCGGCGGGGAAAGCATCAGAGGCCAGGAAATGCCGACGGTCGAAGAGGAAAAAGATATGGAAGAACGTGTGAGAGACCAGGGGCAGCAGATCACCAGTATGCAAGAGAGTTTGAGCCAGATTCTCACCATGCTCAAAACAAGAGACGAGCCATAAAGTTCTAAGATGCGAGGTGACAAAGGCAAAGGCGCGGACGGAGAGATACCTCCCAGTCCCCCCCGCACAGAAGACGGAGAATCCGACAGAGAGGAAGACACTGACGGCGTCCACCTTGACCTCCTCGAAGAACACTTGCGGCCTTGCTACGGGAAGCCCAAGGGCTACAACGTGCTGCACAACCCCTTGGTGAAGAGCCTCTTCAAAACCCAGGTGCCATCAAATTTCTCGTCGCTCGGCCTCCCTGCCTAAACGGGAAACTCAGATCCGTCGGATCACTTGAGCGCCTTCATGCTCAAGATGCAGCTGATTAACGCCTCAGACGCTGATATGTGCAAGGCGTTTCCAGTCACCTTCGGGGGGCAGTGCCGAAACATGTACGCGTCCCTACCAGCCGGGATAATCGAGAACTTCGAGCAGTTCGCCACCCTTTTCTCTTTGAAGTTTGCTTCTCAGCGCAGGAGGCAGCTCACGGTCTCCGCCCTCATCAACTGCAAACAAGGAGAAGAGGAAACCTTGGCCGACTTCTATGACCGATGGAATACAATAGCTTGCGAGGTCCAAGACGTCTCAATTAGCGTGGCCGCCGGGAACCTGAGAATGTCGACGCATAGCCGGGAACTAAAGAGGTCTCTCATCAAAAAGGAGCACAACATCAAGTCATGGCAAAATCTAGACCGCGTGGTACGAAAGGCCATCTTCTTGGAAGAAGCGCTTAACGCCGAAAAAGGCGCAAAGGGGGCACCAGCATCGTCAAACAAAGTGGAAAAAGGAAGGAACGGGTCGCCAAAGCGAAGGGGGCGCACGCCCGAGCGACGAAACTACAAGCCAGGTTCAACAACAGGGACGGAAGGCGTGAGGTGTTCGCGTCAGAAAAAGAGGACGACGGACGCCACGTTGGGGGCAAAACTCGGGAAGCACGTCCTCGCCAAAGAAGGGACGACGACCAAAAGTGGTGCGACTGGCTCCGGGAGACCTGAAAAGCCGCCTGGACACACGGGTGCACCCCAGGGAGAGAACAAAGGAAAGGGACAGGTCGCCCAGCCCAAGGAGAAGGTCCCGCACGCCCAGACGTCGGAGATCCCGGTTGCCAATGAGGGAGCGAACCCCACGCAGGGAGCGCTTGCCTCCGCCGCCGCCAACGCACACCCCTCCTCATCGACACCCGCCTCGAGAAGAGGAAGAGGGATTCGAAATAATCACCATCGCCGGAGGACACAAGTGTCCTCGGACAGAGGGGGACCGCTTGGTGCAATGCATGAACGTGCACAGGAAAGAGCAAGTCGAGATCAGTTTCGCACCCTCGGAACTGGCACCCGAAGAATGTGGAGAGGACCCGCTGGTCATCTCTTTCCGCACCAAGAAGTTTAAGGTCACCCGGGCCTTAGTTGACAACGGAAGCTCAGCAGACATCCTGTTTTACTCCACGCTCAAGAGCATGAAGAAGGGACTACAAGACCTTAAGCCATCCACGACCAGCCTGGTAGGATTCTCCAGGTCCAAAGTCAGGGTTCTTGGTTCCATCACTCTCCAGGTGACAATCGGGGACCCAGAAGTGACGAAGACGCCCCTCATGGACTTCCACGTAGCGGCTGCCCCTCCGCCTACAATGCCATATTGGGGCGCGGCTTCCTGTCAGCCTTCTCGGTGGTCCTTTCTACCTGCCATCAGATGCTTAAGTTCCCCGCTAAGGGCAGGATATGACACGTCCTTGGTGACTCCCAGCAAGCCAAAGAGTGCTACCAAGCTACCATCAGGAACTTGGAGGTCGACCAAGTGGACACAAGGGGAAGTCATCCGCGCCCCGAAGCAGCCGAGGAAGACGTCGCGGTCGTGTGGGACGACGACGAGCCAGAGAAGAAAGTTAGGATCGCAGCTCACTTGGCGGAAGAGCAGGCGTGAGAGCTCTTGTCCCTCCTAAGGGAATTCAAAGATCTATTTGCTTGGACGTCGGAGGACATGCCAGGCGTCCCACGGGAGCTGGCAGAGCACTCCCTGTCAATAAAAAGCAAAGCACGGCCAGTACAGCAAAGGAGGAGGAACGCCTCCCTTGAAAAGCAAATGGCATTGGAAGAGGAGGTGAAGCGCTTGCTGAAGGCAGGGTTCATCAGAGAAGTAAAATACCCAACTTGGCTGGCCAACCCTGTCTTCGTGCGAAAGGCGTCCGGTCTTTGGCGAATGTGCATCGATTTCACAAGCCTCAACGCGGCCTGCCCCAAAGACGCATATCCCCTCCCCAGAATCGATCAGCTGATCGATGCAACTGCAAATCATGAGACCCTGAGTTTCCTAGACATGTTCTCAGGCTACCACCAGATACGCCTGTCAGAAGAGGACCAAGAGAAGACCGCGTTCATGACGCATATGGGAAATTTCTGCTACACGGTCATGCCTTTTGGCCTGAAGAACGCAGGTGCGACGTACCAGAGGATGATCGATACAGTGTTCCAGAAAACAGTTGGGTTGGAACGTGGAAGCCTACGTCAACGACGTCCTAGTCAAAAGCAAGAGAGGGGCCGATCACTTGGCCGACCTAAGGGAAACATTTGAAACGCTTTGAAGGGAGCGCCTCCGGCTGAATCCGCTGAAGTGCGTGTTCGGAGCAAAAGCGGGAAAATTTTTAGGATTCATGATCACTAACAAGGGCATAGAAGCAAACTCAAAGCAAATCAAAGCAATACTCAGCCTGAAACCTCCACGCACGGTGAAAGAAATCCAGGCGTTCAACGGAAAGATGGCCGCCCTGAGCCGCTTCATCCCGCGGTCGGCAGACAAGTGTTCGCCTTTTTCCAAATGCTGAAGAAATCTGCATCCCAATTACAATGGGGACCTGAATGCAACAAAGCCTTCTTTTAGCTGACGGAACAGCTGGCCTCTCCTCCCGTCCTTAGCGCCCCCCTCTAGTCCGAGCCCCTGTATCTATACCTGGCGGTTTCAGACCAAGCGGTCAGTTCAGCCCTGGTAAGGAGGGACGCCGATGGCACAGACCATCCCGTATACTATGTAAGTAAAGCCCTCCTGCCAGCTGAAAGGCCATATATGCCAATTGAGAGGGCGGTCCTAGCGGTCATCTCCGCAGTGAGGAAACTGCGCCCTTACTTCCAGGGGCATCCAATAACTGTCCTGTCCAACCTACCCTTAAAAAGATACTCAGAAGTTTGGACGCCTCGGGAAGGATGACTAAGTGGGCGGTCGAGCTCAGCGAGTACGACATCATGTACGCACCGCGTCCTTCCATAATGGGGCAGGTGCTTGTGGATTTCGTAGCAGAAGGTTTTAGCCTCGGTGTCACCGAGGCAGAAGGAGGAGTTGAAGTGTGGCGCTTGTTCGTGGACGGAGCCGCCGGAAAAGGCGGAGCAAGTGCTGGAATTGTGCTCGAATCGCCCTGGGGAGTCATACACAAATTCTCCCACAGATTTCAGGAGTTGAAGACCAACAACGTAGCGTAGTACGATGCCCTCTTGAGCGGTCTCAGAATCGCCATGGGAATGGGCGCCACACGCCTCCACATCTGCTCCGACTCCCTGTTGGTAGTCAACCAAGTCCTGGAAAACTACGAAGCAAAGGAAGAGGCGTCCTCTCACAGTTGGAGGAATGGAAGCTAGAGCATGTCAAGCGGGAAGACAACCATCACGCGGACGCCTTCTCCAAGCTGGCCACGGCTATGGACTTCGAAGGTGATCGTCAAGTCACCATTACCAAAGAGGCCCCGCCTAGTGAGGGGGTCATGGCCATCGAAGAGGGAGCGGCCGATTGGCGCTCTCCTATCGTCGAGTATTTGCAGACGGTCGTTCTGCCAAGCGATGAAACCCAAGCAAAGCTGATCAAGCGGAAGGCCGCCCATTACAGCATGGTGGGGGGGGGGGGGGGGGCAGTTACACAAGAGGTCATTCTCGGGCGTCTATCTGAAGTGCTTGAGCCCTGCTGAGGCGGAATGAATTGTCAAGGAGATACATCAGGGCACGTGCGCTTCTCATGCAGGCCCAAGAGGCCTCGAAAAGACAATCCTGTTACAAGGCTACTACTGGCCAATGGTGAAGAAGGATGCTGAGAAGGCGGTCCGTGCGTGTCATGAATGCCAAATTCACGCCAGCAAGCAGCACCTACCCAGCACGGAGCTGAAGAGCATAACAAGCCCGTGGCCGTTTGCACAATGGGGGCTGGACCTGCTAGGTCCTTTTCCAACCGCCCCCTTGGGCAACAAATATCTGGTGGTGGCGGTCGATTACTTCACAAAATGGATAGAGGCCGAGCCGCTGGACACAATCACCAGTGCCAAGATCCAAAAATTCCTCTTCAACAACATAATGATCAGGTTTGGTACTCCCAATACTATCATCACTGACCATGGAACACAGTTCGATTGCAGGCCATTCGAAAATTTCTGTGCCAGGAACCGCATCACATGCAGAATGGCCTCAGTCGCCTTCCCGCAAGCCAATGGGCAG